TCAAAATCGCGGATGGCGAGACGGGTTCAGAATCCTTGCGCAAGAAGCTTGAGGATGAAGAGAAGAAGATCACTGACATGACGGAGCAGCTTGCTTCCAAGCAGTCTCATCTCGGGAGCCTCGAAGAGGAACTCCATCTGTACAAAGATCGGCTTAGCGAGAGCCAGGGGAGACTGGATGCGCTCAATGGACGTTTTGAACTCCGCACCCTGCGGGCTAAGGACCTCACCAACCGTCTCTACTCACAAAATGATCGTCTTTGTCGGCTCCTCGAGAGACTAGGCTTTTCGGTCACTCGACATGGCGGAACGATGTCGATCCAGAAGATACCTCGATCGGAGCGTTCCCAAAGTCTTGGGGATTCGACGGATCCCAGCTCCTCCATGCGCCGATCCGGTACTCTTAGTCGTGCAATGGTTGATAATGGTGATCTCGAGCTACTTTACTGGATGAACACCTCAGATTCGGAGACTGAGACTGAGAAATACGATGCTTACATGTCTTCCCTTGGCAGCTTCGATATGGACGCCTTTTCTGACACAGTGTACCGTCGCGTAAAGGACATCGAGCATATGGCTCGAAAGCTGCAGCGGGACGCACGCTCCTACCGCGAGAAAGCCCATGCTCTGCAGAAAGATGCCCACGACAAGATTGCGTTCAAGAACTTCAAGGAAGGAGACCTCGCTTTGTTCCTGCCTACTAGGAATCAAACAACGGGAGCATGGGCGGCTTTCAACATTGGCTTCCCCCATTACTTCCTCCGCGAACAGGAGGCACATCGCCTTCGCAATCGTGAATGGCTCTTAGCACGTATTGGCCGTGTCCAGGAACGTGTGGTTGACCTTTCCAAGAGCCTGCATCACCAGCAAACTCCTGGTGGAGCTGGAGAGACTGACTCGCTGAATGAAGAAGAGAATGACAATCCTTTTGACCTGTCAGATGGTCTGCGCTGGTACCTTATTGACGCGCACGAGGACAAGCCCGGCGCTCCATCAACGCCCGGGATGTCCAAGACCACCGTGGCCGCTAATAATGTCGAAGCCGTGGCGGAAAAGACACATGCGCGCACGTCGTCTGGAAAAGGACTAGGTTTGGTTGGCCACCGCCCTACCGGCATCGATGGCGTGAGCAAGTCTTTGTCAAAGAGCTTGGAGAGTCGACGCTCTAGCACAGGCTCTAAGAAGGCCTTGCCATTTGCCGTCGGTGTAGTAGGAGGGCGAGGAAGCGCATTGGCTAGTGAGACAAACTCGCTTCGCGCCGTTGCTGCTGAGAGCCCTATTGCGACAAGCCCGACAATGCAGCACAGCACCCCTCAAGTAGCTCAACCGCTAGTCAGCCCGCCAGCTGATGATGCCCATGATCAATCGGAGGAACCAAACGAGGAGCATGGCTCTCCCTCGAGAGAGCGCTCACAGGAGCATGCAGGTCAGCAACAGTCGCTGCAAGCATCCGAGGTGCGCAACAAGATGGATTCCCTGCTCGGACCTTGAGAACGGGTTCGCTGATGCCTCACCCATAG